CTGAATTAAGTGATTCAACTAAATCTTGCTGACCTCTCCCCATCCTGAGAGACCCCAGCATGTAATAAAGAAAACTACACATGCCAGAGGGACGAGGAAGGCTGAGGGACCTGGTTCTCACTCATCCCATCTGCTTGGCTCGAGTGGCCTCTAGCATTTCTCTCCCAGCACTGACTTTCATACGGAGCTGCCAAACAGTCCCCGGGGGCATCTCAGACAGGGCTTGGCTTTGCCCACCTCCCTGGACTGCTCCTAACCCAAACCTTTGCACAGCCTTGCCCTGTCAGGAGGGAGCTGGAGAGGGTTAGAGCTGTTCACTGCTCACAGAGGTAGCACCAGGCTCCATCCCTACTCCTTCTGTGGTGTCCCCTGGTTCTTACAAAGAAAAGCAGTGGAGCTGAGGCAGGAGTGGCTCAAAAGGCAGCAGAACAGAGGGATTGGGAAGCCATGCACGTCTCCCAGCCAGGCAAACAGCAGCCATGGAACATGGATGGGGAGGAACAGATGGAGCATAAATAACCTGGCAGCCTGCAGACAACATGGCAACTCGTGGGTTATTAAAGCACAGTGTGAGGAGCCAGGGCCAGCCAAGCCATCCGGGCATGGAGGAGCTGGGATTGGGGTTTGGCTTCCAAGGAAAACCAAAGGCACGCTCCTTTAAAGCTGCTGCATCAGCACGTGCCCATCCACTGAGGGGGGATGAAGACAAAAAAACCCTGCTGGACTTCAAGGCAACTCATGCAGCCAGGTCAGGATTATCTATGAGCTGAAAGCATCCCATGGGTTTCTTGAATTTAAACTCTTCCAGAATACAAAACACTGCAAGAAAACACTGTAAAATACCCAAAATGTTTACTAAATTCTGAGAGATGTTGTCTTCCTCTCTTAAAAAAAAAATCAAGGTCTTGGAGACAGGGTCACTCTTACTCTCACTACTAAAATGTACAGTTCATCCACTGGAAAAAACATATTTTTTTTTTGGTAGGAGGGAGTCCTGTTTAATATTTCCTTCAGGTTTGTGAGTGCAGAACTAGAAGCACCACTCTGTCCTGAATTTCAGGGGCAGCTCTTGCCTGGGTGGTGGATGGTCCCTCCATCTATCTCCTTAGGAGAGATCTGTCCCAACTGATTATGCCATTAGTTTTAGTATTAATTAATACTATATAACTGGTAACAGAAGACATCCAGAAGCTCCAGTCAGAAACAGGGGAACACTGGGCTGGGCATAATATAGAGGGTTTTTTGCTAGAAATATTTAGAGCTGGAAAAAACGAAGAGCAACTTCAGGAAAGAAGGAGAGGAGGGCAGAGGAATGGGACCAAAGGCTCTAAATCAGGAACTTCCACTTGTCTTAGCTAACACCACTCTCTCCTAGGTGCTCTTCAAGCAGTTTATCGTGGTTTGGTTTAGGAATGTGGCTGGTAACAGCTCCATCCAAGCCAGTCAGGATTCACTTCACAGGAATTGGGAACAGGATGCCAATAGGCAAAATCCACGGAAAGATGATGAGCACCCCAAATCCTGGGTAGGATTTAGTTGCCCAAACAGAGGTGTCTGAGGTGAGGATCCCTGACATCTGCAGGGGACCCAGAGATCTGGCACAGGAAACTGGAGAAAGCAGAAAGGGAGGTCAGAGAGGATATCCAGGACCTCCTGCCTCTCCCCAGGAAACTAAACCCATTCACCTCATACAAGCTGCTGGGCTGTGACTCTAAAATATGCCCTGATTGGTAGTATTAGGGTTGTGTTTGGAGCATGGCTCCCTCTTAGAGAGCACCAGCAATGCCAGCACTGAAGCAAACCACTGAAATTGTTCCACTTAACTCAAAATCAGGCCCCAGTAACATTTTGACCATCTTTATTCACAACAAGCCCTGACCATTTTATCAGGTGTCCCCTGAAGCCCAAGCCATCATTTATGGTGCTGGAGCATCCCAACAGCACTCTGAAATCAGAGCAGACACAGCAAAGGACACATCCTTGGGTTGTGGCCTTTTGGAAGGATTTGTGCTCCTAAGCCATTCAAACATCCTTGAAAACCCTGTCTGTTTATTTTTCTTCAAGGATCAACATGTTTTCTGAAAAGCAGGGAATGACAAAATAGCAGGTGGGATGCAAAAAGCTTTTGTGAGGAGGAAAATTTATTCCAGGATGTGCAGTTTGCAAAACACTATGTTTAGTAGCTGCATAATAGCAGCATTTTCTGGCAGTTAAACATCACATTCCTTTCTCAAAGGATCCTAAAGCATTTTACAAACACTTCCAACATATGGCCAAGTGTAAAACAGCACCAGGAAAAAATAAAAAAAGAAAACCCTGTTTGCAGCCTTCTCCCTCATTTTTACAACTGGCTCCTGTGGTCTGGTGTCCTCTCCCTGGATGGCAAGAGGGGATCAGGGCTGTGCTTCTTCTGCAAGGGGTTTTTGGAGCTGCTGCTGAAGATCTCCACGTGCCAAGCTCAGCTCTGTCACACTCCTGAGCATTGATAATTCAGGCTCAAACCCACGGTTTTTGAGTTTTCAGGCGGAACCCAACCCTGTGACACCAAAGCCATGGGCTGTTCTCACACTGCAAAGGTGGCTCTGCTCTGCCAGTGCCACCTCCTGGGGACAGCCTGATGGCACCACGGTGACACCCCCTCAGTCAGGCAGACATTTAAGGACAACACAGATTCAAGTAATAATCCAGCCCAGGGGAGATGCTCATGAGGAGCAACTACCTCCACCCTGCTCAGCCATGGAATTCTGCAGGGAAATGTGGGAAAAACAGAATGTAACTGCTCAGTGTGCAGTTACCATGTCTGCCAAAATAGACATTTTCAGCTTTCCAGAAGATCTCCAAGAGTTGCCAGCTGTCAAACCTTGTGTTTTTTATCTCATCTAACACACGACAGCTACAGTAGCAAGGAGCCCCAGGCATCATGTAGAGACACTACTGTGCTGGCTTTGTAAATAAAATAAAAACAATTAAAATTAAAAAGGAGTTACAAAATACACCTTTGGATATGACACTCTTTGCTGGGATCTGGGATTCTACTTGAAGGTCCCACACATAATCACTGGATTCCTTTGTAATATCAGTCGAGTTTACTCTCAGATGGTCTCCTAAAACCTTAACTCATGTTTAAGTCATTACTAGAGGAAGACTTGCTCACAGGCACAGATGACATCTTGTCTTTTTCTCTTTAATTAAGATGTACAAAACGGGGTTGATTCACCCTAAACGGGCAGAATGATGTGATGCCCACACAAAAAATTTCTTCAGTCTCCTGCCTTCCCAGCACCATAACCAGGGCTCAGACAACACCAAACTGAATTCTGCTCATCCTATGCTCACCTTCCATATTATGTTAAACAGAGAAGTCCTACTGACCTAATCATGGACCTAAACATTGACATTTTTGCCACATTTGGCCCTAAATTAACTCTCCTCTTGGGCCATTCAAGCATTCCAAGGTTTTGCATTGTGCTCTAAGAGGAACATCTCTGCAAGCTCCAACCACACAGCACAGCAACTGGAATTTGCTGAATTCAAATTTATGACCTGCATGCAATAATTAAAATAAGTGGGTATAAGTCTGGCACGCTGGGAAGAGGCAGCAACACAGCTGTTAGTTATAAACCTTTTTTTCAAAAGGATGTTTCATGAGCCTCATCAGAAACATTCTTCACTCTTTCACATAGACAGGAATAAAATTTACACATTAGACATTCCCTTTTGTGATTTAATCCCTGCCCCACACAAAGCATTTTTGATCTTGAAGCTGCCAGTGCAAACTTTTAATAGAGTTGGCAGATGGGAGCCTTGGCTGAGATGAATGGCAGAGACCCAGAACTCTCTGCACGCCACTTCCATCCCAACACAGGGCTCCTCAAGCCCACATCTGTGCCCAAGGCCAACACAAATCTTCTCCCAGCACAGCAGAGCTCCCACACTGCCAATGAGCCACTGCCTGGGCCATTAGCAAAGTGTCCCCAAATTAATGTTGCTAATTTGAGTGCATCTCAGCTGGGAAAGGAGCCTGGATTCCTCATGGGAAGCTGCTGGCACGTCCCTGCAGGGAGGGTGAAGGTGGCACTGGGGTTTTGTGGCAGCCAGGATGGGACATGGTAACAGCCTCATTCCAGTTATGGGACCATAAAATCGTTTTCAGTTATTAAAGCCCTCTGAGATCAAAGCCTAACCATTAACTCAGTACTGCCCAGGCCACATCCACACATGAACTGCACCAATTCCATGGATGTTTTGGAGTGCAGTGCTGCTTAAAGGCTGGGAAGGAACCCAGAGGGTCCCCAGGCTGGTGATGGGGAGGGCAGCCTGGTCCCCAAGCAAGAGGTGACACCAGGAATATGGGAACACTGAAACAAACCTCCCTGAGCATCCTCTCACTGCTCATCCCACCCCTGCCAGGATGGAGCTGCTGGAAACCAGGCGAGCACGGCTGAAAATCAGCATTATCTGCAGCCACCATGGTTAACACTAGTGCAGATTTACACGGGAAATTAAAGCCAGTGCCTTGGGGCTGAAGCACCAGAGTGAGAATTAAAAAAAAAAAAAATTAAAAAATAAGATGCAGGAGCAAAATTATCTCTCACTTCCACTACAGGTCCCTGAAGGAGGTTTCTCTACCTTGTGGCTTGTGATCAGGTGAACACTTTGGTGCAAGGCTCACAGAAATCTGTTCAGTTTGTGTCAGCTTTTATATTCACAGCCTTACTATTTCATAGTTGTGTACAATGTCTTTGCACATGTCTAACAGAGTAAGACACACGAAAAACATCTGGAGAAATCCCTTCTGGTCACTCCCAGCCCCCAGAAAACACCAACAAAGAAATAAGGCCACACATAAAAAGTGTTTTATACAAACATCCAACTTGTGACCTTCCATGGTTATGTATTATAGCAAAGGCCTTTCCAGAAAAAGTTTAACATAAGCTGCTAAACATGGCATGATATTTATTCATCACAGGTTCCACAAGCAAAGGAAAAATATCTTTTACCTTGAACACTTCCATTGGAAGAGGAAAATTTGCTGCATCATTAAGGGATTTTTCCAGAGCGCATTTCCACTCAGTTATAGTCTTCAGAGAATAGATATCTAAAGGGATGACAATAACACAAAGAAAAAAAGAACAACAAAACCAAGAGGTGACTGTTTGGAGATCAAACATTTTTGGAAGACTAAAGTTCTTAAGTCGTATGAATGAACAGAGCAAGTGAAATGAACAGTGTCTATAATTCCAAGCTGTGCAGCATGGATAAATTCAACACAAAAGCAACTAGCAGGGGCACACTGGAGGAAGATTGTGTTTTATATCCTGGAGTAAAACCCAGAAAAATTCACATCCTTCAAATACTGCTGAAGGAATGAGAATTGTATCATCTCATTGCTTGGAAAGAGTGAAAAAACTCTCCTTTGATTTTCATCTCTCAAAATACCTGATGTTTCCTACTTTGAGGAGCCTCACGTCTTCAGCCAATATTAGTCATATTTGAACAAAGCAAAAATTACCATTATCAAGGCACCTGTTCATCAGAAAGTGTCTGGGGGTTTTTTTGGTTGTTTTTTTTTTATTTGCAGGGTTGGGGTGGGTGTGGGAAGAAACATTTCAGCTAAATCTCTACCCAGGCACATTTTCTGGTATCACACTCAAACCAGAGCATCACACCAGAGCAAAGACTTACACTTATGAATTTTCATCATTATACTTTTAGGCAACATCTTTGTGCAGCTTCACATTGCTTCCAGTGAGTTTCTTTACACAGGTTTAATATTATTAAATCATGATATTAACAAGCCCTTTATGGTTCAGAGCAGTGAAATGCCTATGAATCATCAAAGGGAACAATGTAGGAAACAATACAGTGATGAGGGACATTATATTGGATTTACTCCTGCCCTAGAAAACATATTGTTATCTTGCACGTAACAAGTTATTGCAGAACATTCATATCAAGGTCTCAAAGAGAGAAGATAGGTAGATAGACTGCAACAGTGATTAAAATGGAAATGAACATTTGCTCAATAATAAACTTGAACCTTGATACAGAGTGAAGAGTGTGGAGCTTTTCTTTGGCCAGTCTGGCTTCCCACGTTCACATCAAGGTTCAATTTGGCCCAATTTGCATTTAAATCCTGTACATCTAATAACCGTATATATTTACTAGCTAGCAGAAGATTTACTGCTGTATCTTACAATTCTGAAGGAGGGAATAAAAAATATGTGTAAAAAAAAAAAGGAATTGGCAAGCACTGTTTCCACCTAGCACTGATGGTACAAGAGAATTTTATGCTCTGAACTCAACAGATTTAAGACCTTATCAAAACAGGATTTGCAGAATCACTCAGTGAAGTGGATGTATTTATACTTCCACTGTATCAAATCTCACTACTTCAGAACAGACATCAAGGATATGCATATGAATTTAAACACACTTGAAGGGGAATGTTAACCTTTGAGGGCAGTATTTTTAATTCCTCAGCTGTCTGGTTATTAATGGGAATATAGATTTCAAGTCTTTGTTTACAGCGTGTGCAGCGGGCACAAGTGTTAAGAAGTGCACTCTTTATCTAATTGTTCATTATTTTATAGTTTTGTTGCCCCACTTCTCCCTTGCCTGCAGGAATTCTGATCAGCATGAAGTGCAGGGAGGGGGACGACACCTTGTTTCTTTCTTTTTTGGTTTAATTTACAGGGAAATACTTAACACGATATGATTTTGCCCCAGGCTGCAGCCAGCCTGTTGTTTCAAGTCTGAGTTCAGGAAAACTGTGCCTGATGCTTCCCTGCTGGAAACAGACCCTCATTTTCTATTGTGATGCCAGTGAAGCACAGGAAAGATGAAATTGGCATTTTGGGCAACTCTGGCCAAAATCAGCAAAGACAAGAAGCAACTTCTCTGGGCAGTGTACACAAAATTCAAGATACAGAGGCAACTCCAGTGATTTCAATGGCCAGCAAGGAGTTTCATGTGCACAGTTAATTAGTGGCATCTCGCTTATGCTGGCAAGTGTATGGACACTAAATTGCACGGTTAAAAGAGCATAAAGCATTTTATTTAAGTGCCAGGGCTGCAGGTAATTGAACAAAGTGTACTGTGTCAATTTGTATTAGGGTTCACAAGTAGTGAGCAATTAAAATGACTGGCAATTTGTCTTTAAACAGAAAGTAGCATAAAACAGGATGATCTCGTCCTGCATAAACAGCTGAGCTCAGGCCATCAGTGGCTCTGTGTCAAGCAGCCTGGGCCAATTTGCACTAGCAAGGAGGCTTCTTCCAGACTCAGATACACATCTGAAGGGAAAAACAAGCTATAACTCCTTTGCTTCAGTTAAATGGGCTTGTGAGATATACAGAGCCCATCTGGAGAAGACAGGTGGGATGCTGTTTCATAGAATCATTGCATGGTTTGGGTTGGAAGGGACCTTAGATATCATCTCTTTCAAAGCCCCCGAGGACTCTCGTTCACATTAAGTGGGTGTTAGGAGTTGGGTGGCTTCAGGAAAGAGATCTCTTCGTCCAAAATATTGTTTGGGTCCATGGGATCTCCTTTATCTGAGCTGCTCTGCATCTTGAAAGACTGACTTGAAACCTGGCAGGTGCCAGAGGTGGATCAACAGGGAAAAGTCACAACCCAGACACAGAGGGAAATAAAGCTCAGGGTGGATATGCAGCATCCAAGTGGAAGGTTGGTAAAGCACTGTCACCAGCTGAAGAAGTGATGTATAAAAACATAAAAACACCCTCGTTTGACAGCAAGGGGACACACAGCCCAATCTGGGAGCAGCTGCATGTCCTCAGCATCTCTTCAGAGGGGATTCATAACAGCTTTGATACACAGTCTAAGGCTGTTCCCTTCATCAATCAAGGAGTCGCCTTAACTGGCTTCAGATGTTCAAAATTTAGGACAATCAGGTGTGTGTTCATTGGTTTCAACCCCTGTGAGTGAAAAAAATAGGCTGAAAAAGATGTCATTTCATCTTACCTATGTTAGTTGTGTCTTAGCACCCTCTTTTCTCTACTCATTCTAAAGAGAAAGCAATTTCTCATGCAGAACTGCTTTTTGATGCCTGCACCATGGCAGGTGAATCTAATCTCTGAAGTGTAAAAAACAAGGTATTCTGTTTTTGTAAATAAACAGAATCTCTTCTTCCTAAGGAAGTCCACACTAGGTCTTTAACACAACAGACATCTTCCTAGTCCAAATGCCCTTCCCTAAACAAGTCACTTAGGGGATGTACCCCTGACACAGTCTCCAGGCCTCAGCTCCTTAGGAAACTTCATTTTTTGAGTTTGTGGCTTCATTAATAGCCTCATCCCTGAGTTTCTTTAGAGCTCTCTGCTGCCAGCATCTCGTCCTCACAACTCACTACTGCTTCCCTGACTGCTCCAAGAATCCTTTCGCAGAGACTTTCATTTGAAGCAGATCCAGTAAGACCAGCCACCTGGGGAATTCTCTGTCTTCTTCCTCTCAGTTAATGTCTCATACACTTTATCAATCCATTGTGCCTCACAGACACGGTGGATGGTTGGACAAGAAGCTCTTAAAGGGTTTTTTCCCAACCTTGATGATTCTGTGACTCTGTGTTAGGTGGACATCAAAAGATCAGGAGTGGAACAACCAGCACTGCTGTCTCCAGAAGCTCCTCAGATTTCCACTCCTGACTGGCTATTCTCTGCAGTGCAGAGCTGACAGCTGGGTCAGAAGGGGGGAATCAATGAAAGATCCCAGAAACAGTGATCAGGAGAAGATTTGGGCAAAAACACAAGAGTTCAGACCTGAAGGGTCTTTTCTCAGCAAATTCCTACAAGGCTCCACTTTAGGAGATGTAAAGTAATGAAGACTTATTTAAGTCCATATAAGTCAGGAAGATCTGGGCACTGAATCCACTAATAACAATGTTGACTAAAAATGAATGACCAAAGAAATGAAAGGAGAAGAAACAGCTATCAGATAAAAACAGGTAAGAACAAGAGACAGAAATTTTAGAAGTTAAATCAAGGAGAGGGGCAAAGAAAAGGAAACAACGCCAGCAAATAAAGAGTTCAGTAACAAGTTTAGAGAAAGACAAGTGAAAAAAATGAAAAGAAAGGCATGAGGGGTGGGGAATCCACAGAGAACGGTGTGCAATTGGATAAAAGGAGGAAAGAGTAGAAAGCAAATGAATGAACAAAGAGAAAGCACAAATCTCCTCTGGGGCATTTCTATATTCACCAAACCTATACAGGCCAAGTGGGTTCAGAGCCAGTCAATGAAAAAGTTGTTTCTCTGTAACACAAAGACTCTGTAAAATAACAGAGTGGGTGATATTCATGCTCTCCAGCATTCCCATCTAATTTAGAAGTGATGGGGAACATTGATTTCTACCTATCAGTGAAGAAAAACACACTTCCAAAAAGCACTCAAGACCCAAGTCCCAGACAAACTCCTGAACACAAGAATTGAACATGTCAGGGTCAACTCTCCTCATCAGGTGTGAGGGACAGAAGCCACATCAGAAACACCTTCCCAGAGGAGGGGAATTTAATACTCATGGAAAAACTTCACCCACAGCACAAAGAAAATGAGGCACAGACCTGGACACACTGTTAACCTACACAGGAGAAGGTGGATCAATCTATGATCCCAACCCTTTCCATCCAAGGTGCTCTGAACACTAAACTCAACTCTAAAGAGCTTCTTCTCCAAGGTGTAATCTCCTGGTGTTTCATATGGTCTGATAGACTTGCAAAGATTCCAACAATTTATTTAATAAAGAATATGGTTCACCTGACCCACCCTGAACCCAAACTGGATGGATCTCCCCTCCCGTTCGTGCCACAGCCAGAAACTACTGACAAAGCAATGTGAATGCTGGAAAAGGACAAAGGTGCTGCACGAGTATCTCAAAACACCAGTGAACAGCACTGAAGGGAGACAATATTTCAGGGGGGTTCTTTACCTGCAGGTGGGTCCATTCTGTATTTATTCTCTTGACACCAACCGACTGGTCGAAGTCTGCAATCCAAGTAAAACAACCACTGGTCATAGGATTCAGTCTCCTCCAATCCCACATAGCGAAGGCGTAATCTTCCTCCAACATTTTCAACCACACTAACTATCCAGTACTGAAAGGGATTCTGGGAATCCTGCAGCTCTATTAAGGAATCAACTGTAATGAGGTCTACAGGGTTTTTTCCTCGCAGAGGCTGTTTGAATAGAAGCAAAACTCCTTATTTTAAACTTTATTTGAAGACTTCTCAAGGAAACAGATGACAGCAGAAGATTATTTTTGTTTTTCACACCATCATCCAAGCGATCAGCAAACAGTCTGTTCTTCTTCTATTTTACCCAATGTCTTCCAAGTGCAAATTCAGAAGTAAAACAGAAAACAACAGTTGTGCTAATTTCTCAACCGACATCATCAACAACAACAACAAAAAAAGAATAATAAAAGGTGGAACAGCTTGTAAGGCACATCCATTTAGGATGCTCCTGAACTACTGAAAGCCCAGTTGTATCGGAGGATTTCAAACAAATTCTCATTGATTGCAGCTGATAAGAACCAACCACAGGACTGGACCCTAATATTTACCTAAAAGGTAAATATGTGCATGACCCAGAAATTTCATTTTGTGTACTGATCTCTCTCACTAAAGATCAGCTTTATCTTATTTCTACTGGCATGGAGAGCAAATCATCCCCCCCAGCCACGGATGCAGGAGTCTGTGGGGGTTATTCCAAAGCTCAAAGCCAAAAGCAGGTTTGGATCCAAGCCTGAGGCTCACAGGATTTGTTGGGTCAATCCACCATGCCCAAGAAATCCCAGCGACTGAGGTTATTTGCTTCCACATGGTTATTTTCTGGGATCCCAGTTTTGCAGCCTTTTACACATGTGTGTAACTTCCCACCTGCAAGCACAGGCACTAAAAAACCATGAGATGCTCTGCAGAACAACCCCTTTGGGGCTCAGTGTTTTTGTTCTGTTACTGCGAGCATCTCTGCGTTCTCAAGCTTTAACATAATGGTTAAGTTTCTTATTTTTTTTATTAAATACAAGTTTGAATTCTTATGCAATGTCTCAGTTCCGGGGTTTTAAGAGCACCATTAAAATGACCCCAAGACTTGGAAGCATTGGTCCCCAAAGAGATGCTAAGCAAAGGCAAAATACATTAAAAAGAGACTTCTTTTTCCTGTGTGTTTGTCCCACTTTGACTTAATTAAACCATATAAACATCTCACATTACTTTTAAAAATATTAATTCTGTAAATCAAGAGTCAGTCCAGGATGGTTCTTTCTAACAGTGGCTACAAAACAAAATAAGGAGAAAACCTTATTTTTCAAAAAGTTCTTTTTCCTACTGAATATTGTAAACATTCAAATTTTGAGATGCAACTGATTTTCATACAACTCTCTTAATCCAAAAAAGCAGGCAAGAGAATGAGAATATGGTAAAAAAATGCAATTAAAATTAACTAAGAGCTTATCACATGTACAATTTTAAACAGCTTTATGATTAATAGATATTTCTCAGAACAATATATATGCCATAATAAGCTACTTTTCTACACTGCAAGCTGCAAGCATCTGTATAATCTCTTCAAATATTATTTCATGGCAAAATGTAGTGTCAGAATTTAATAATACAGCAGAAATCCACTTTAATGTGGATTTTTTTGTCCTCTCATACAACTGCTTCATTGCAACAAAATATTCTTTAATATGAAACGATGGTGTAATGATTTAACTTATTATAATAAATCCCTGGCTGTATCAAAGTGAATATTGCTTCCCTGATTTGTGTGCTAAATTTTAAGCCAATGGGCTGTCACTTACCCCATGAGAACTGAATGGCTAGGATTAATAATCGGCTTGCATGAAATATTAACATTTACCATAATGCAAGAACCCTTCACATGCGTAGCTGGCATGTAAAAAAAGATTTTAAAAGTAGCACTACATATTGATTTAACAGTCTAACAACAATCTGCAGCACTCACAAACAGCAAATCTGTCAACAGGGGCCGACATACATTGCACGACACAGACAGCACTGAGCACAAAAAACACCAGAAAAGGGTCAGAAACTGATTCAAACCAACACAGTGTTTTCTCTGCTTTTCTGCCTGGGGCTGCCTCTCTTCCCTGCCTGCAGAAAGGGGAGGTTTGGCACACACCAGATATGGGGCTTGGACAGATTTCTGTTTGTGCCATCTGGGAGCAGCCCAGCAATGGGGATGCATCAGGCCTGAGAATAGGGATTATTTGGGGTCTGCAAAAGGATGTTCATCCCAAAGACTAGGGGGAAAAAAAACTCTAATGGTACAATAGTAATTCTCCCTGCCAGGTACATTCATACTGCTTGGGTATGTGGAAAAAGAATACAGCTGTGGATGGTGGAAGTGACCAGGGACAAAATGATCAAAAATGGTGCCCGGATGCACACTGGCCTCCCACAAAACCAACATGAGCACTTTCACAAGGTAAATTCCTGTATGCCCTTGCTCTCAGCCTAAATGCAGAGGGACAAAGAATGAGGGGCTCCTGCAGGACCATCTCTCCTCTCCAAATTCCCCCACAGCATCCAAAAAGAGCAGGGTAGGTCTGATGCAAAAGCTGCCCCTGGTTTCAAGGTGCAGCTGTGGGATTTTTATCCAGGATCTCAAGGCACACTGAGGCTGTCCCAGGTGCAATCACCCTGGGGATTTGCTGCACAGACTGAATTGGGTGCATTTGAAAAATGGACCCTTCTGCTCTACTGAGGCATCTCACCCAACAACTTCCCCACTAAATGTGACTGCTGGATTTAGGTGGATGGAATGTCCTTGAGGGGGCGTTTCCCCCTGGCATTGTCCCCCATCAGCCTACTAAACTCCTTCTCCAACCTGTGCCACAGATTCACAGAATGGTTTGGGTTGGAAGGGACCTTAAAGATCACCCAGTTCCAACCCCATGCCATGGGCAGGGACACCTTCCACTGGACCAGACTGCTCCAAGCCCCATCCAACCTGGCCTTGAACACTTCCAGGGATGGGGCAGAGATGGATTGGCAGCTCAGATCACCAGTCTGATGGATCTAATGGGGCACTGAAGGGCTGAGCTCTCCCTCCTGTGGATCCCCTCCATGCTCTCCTTCCCCCACCAGGCCTTTTTCTGAGCACCCAACTTCCTAAAGAACTGAAAGGCAAAACAAACTCCCCGTGAGTGGGTCAGAAGCAGAGCCAGCAGAGTCCAGGCATGGCTGGCACAGATTTTGGGGCAGGGCTGGCACACAGACACTGCAAGCACACAGTGAGGAAGAGGAGGAACTGCAATCTAATACATACACCTTCCAGCAAATTCGCAGGGGCTGTCCTGGCGCCGGTCAGATCCTGGATGAGAAACTCTGTCCAGTCCATGTATTTCTCCTTGATTGCTGGGGAAGGGGAGGCAAGAAAATAAATTCTTAGCACAGCAGACTGCAGAGACTTGCCACGTGTGAGTCATAGAGTGGACCTGGTGTATTTATTAAGAAGAAATTCCTCATTATTAGGGGGATGAGGCAGTGGCACAGGGTGCCCAGAGAAGCTGTGGCTGCCCCATCCCTGGAATGTCCAAGGCCAGGCTGGTTGGGGCTTAGAGCAACCTGGGATAGTGGAAGGTGTCCCTGCCCATGGCAGAGGGTGGGACTGGATGATCTTTTAAGATCTCTTCCAACCCAAACCATCTTGTGGTTCAATCATTTTAGAAACATCTCCTCAGGATTTACGAGCTCTCAATTTTTGGATGCAACTGCAGCTCAGACCAGGAAAAAAGCTGGTTTGTTGTCCAGTTCTTTGGGCAACCTGTGCACACAGTGAAATCCCAAAAGAAGAGAAGGTGCTGCTCCACTGCAGCCACTGACAGTGATTTACAACATCGTGGCTTATCATCCCCATCTCTCCCATTCAGAATTGGGCACTGCTTGTGTAACCACTCGTTTCCTGCTTATCACCCGGGCTCAGATGTGATTTATAAAGTCTCTTTGTATGTTCACTAATGACCTCTAGGAAAAAAAGAAGCTGTGCAAACTTTCAATTCCTTGACAGGAGACCAGAAACTCCAGGTGCTTTTCCAACGAAGTAGAAAAATCAGCCCTGAGAACATCATATATCAGCTGCTGAATCAATGCACTAGCAAGAAGAAAGACTTAAAAGTCTTTCCTTTTTAAGGAACTTCTGCTTCACTCAGAAAAAAATAATAATTTCTGAGGTAAACACTGAACCAGCGTTACTTTAGGACATGAATGCAGTTTTGTAAGATTTGAAATGAAATATATAAACTCTGCCTCTAGGATTCACATTGAAATGAGTGGACACATAAAGGCAATAATTCAGCAAATCTCAGCTTCAGATACAGAGATACCTCTTCAAATGCGCTGTGCAGTTGCAATCAGAAATCCAGAAATTAGACTTTAATTCCACCTGCCTGTAAATGAGAATTAAATTACATCTGAAACTTTGTCTTCTCCCAAAAACAATCTTACTTATATGTGAGAGAATCATCAGGAATGCAGTTATGTTGCTAACTCAGAAACACCTACCGAAGGGAAAAATCACAAGCATTTGAAGATTTCAACACTTCCTTTGAATAAACAACTGAAAAAATCGTTTAAAGACCATTACCCTACAGTAATCCACAGTATTGGGCACAGATAGACACAAGCCATGCCCAGTGCACCTTACCTCAACCTCATATCTGAGCTCTGCTCCTCCCCCAAAAGCCAGTTCTCCCAGCTTGAGCTATACATCCAGTTTAGATATCTAAATTACTTTAAACGTGCATTTAAATGTATTTAAAATTATCAAACCTAGCACTGCTGGACTTGAGCCTCCATAAAATACTGTTTGCCTGGAACCATTCTAAGTCTTTTGCAGCACTGATTTTGCATGACTTCCAGAAGATTTATGACCTTTGCAGTATTTAAGATGAAAGAACAGCCTGAGAAGAATTGGTTTAGATATGACACTTTCTCTCTCAACACTCCTGCTGTGTACACCTCATCAGTTCCTGTCCACCTACCTCAGGATAGAGAAAAACAAGCCGAATTCTGGCATCAGGGAGAGGACAGTAATTGTGGTAATGAACGAGGCTGGAGTCCCTCTAGCTCAGATTCTGCCTCTCCCTGAGAACAGCACTGGGTGCAGCACAGAAAGGTGCAAGTTGAACTCGATTTTGGCTCATTCCCACAAAGTTGTCATCCAAATTTCTGAATGCCAGAGCTTCACTACCAAGGAATGACAAATGTGATAAAAAGCACACAGTTTGAACTTTCAAAGCTGGCAGGAGTGGGGGGGAGAGACAGGGGGAGAATAGGATTTTCAAAGTTGACAACAGATTAACAGATTTCAGGGGCTTCCACTTCCAGATGCCCAACTGGAGATGTCATAACGGTGCCTGATTCACAGATCTGGCTGTCTGTCAGTCAGTCTCCCTTCCAGGGCCTTCCAGAGAGAAAATAAAAAAATCCCCTGTCCTTTTTAAAAGACTTGCACCTCATGGTTTGACATCTAAATAAGCTGATGCCTCTCTCCACATTTAGATCTGAATTAGAGGCTCACAAAGTCCGAAAGTCCCAAGGTGACCTCTGTTTTCAGGCTCAGTCAAAAAAAACCCAAAAAACCAAAAAACAAAAAACTTGAGCTATTCTCACTTTCTAGGTGGTTTACAAATCTAATTTCTACGGTTTTCCTTTATTTTATTCTGCCTTTGTGGCATGAATAAAACGACTTTGAAAACCTTTGAGAGACAATAAATTGCATTGGAAGTTGTAGAAACAGGGATTTGAACACTCCTCTGTGCCTATAGAGCACAATCAGCCTTCTCAGTTTTACAGTTCAAGTCACCACAGTGCAAATATTAATTTTTAGTAGTAATGAAGTGAATCTGAATGATCATGATATCTGCAAAAGCCTTTGAGGACCAAGCAAAATGTTAAACAAATATATTCGAACTAAGGAAAATCTGCTGGGTAAATGAGAATATCTGTCAGTGCAATGCATGGGTGCCCAACCTGAGCATCCCTCTCCAGAAATGCTGATGCTCCTCTGGCACATCAGACTCAGCACCTGGGGACTGAAGCAGTGAACTTTCAATCACTATTTCCCATTTTCCCTCATTAGCTACAGGAAAAGGCTCTACTGAACCTCTCCTGCTGCTGGACAGGCTGGGAGAACTCTGCTGTGTTTTTGGGGTTTTTTTTTCAGCAAGAACTCTGCTGTGGTTTTGGGGTTTTTTTTCAGCTGGCTGGCCAGCTGGTGGGAAGGGAAGGTGGCCAGGACAAAGAATTCTGCTCCATGGTGACCTGAACTCCACTAGCATTCCTGTTTTCAAGACATTTTTCCCTGCCTTAAATAAATTCAGTGAATCAGGAGTGGTCCATGGGTTTCAGCCAGCCATGCTTTCTTCACCTTTCAATAGATCTATTTTCTCAGAAGACCCTGGGAACTTTCCCTGTAGTTCTGCTCCAGATTGAATTCATTCAGGACAGAGAGGAAAATCCATCTGAACCCAGACCACCACAGAACAGATCCCAATTTCCCTCCCCAGCTCCTGAGGAGCAGCTGGAGTGATGCACCAGTTCCCAGACTCAGTGATGGGCAGGCGAAGGCTGTGCCACTCCCAACAGACTTCAGTGAAATTATCCACACCTGCAAAATAAAAGCCAGGTCCTTGCAGCTGTCTGCTTCCATGAAAAAATAATTATTTCAGAGATCACCTTCTAGTTGGGCAAATATTACAGCAAATTCTTAAATAAGAAAGAAAAAGGAACTTTCTAACATATAAGACTCAGGTTATAAAATTGAGTGCCCCTTCCAGAGACTTGAACTCCACCAAAAAACAGATCATATCCAATGTCCCTCAAATTCTTCCACTTTTCTCTACTTGGTTCACCTTTCCCACAATGTCTCTGACTCCCATTCCTCTCTCCCCTTCTGAGCCACTGCCATTTCCCCAGTTTTACTCTTTGGTCTCATTTTCCTTTAAGCTGTGAATTGAGACTCCAGGCTGGACCTGGCATCACCTGAGGAGCAGGGGCTGCTCACTGGCTGATGTGCAAAGTACCATTAGTATTTATCATCAGGTTTTCCCCATCAGCTGCTCAAACCCAGCCCTTTCCCCTTGCTCTGTGTGTGCTGACCATGAAAACCATTCCAAGAGCAGCTGGAAATGCTGGAGCAAAGCACACCCCATCCCCTCCTATCCCCCTGGACACAGGACAGCAGCTTCATTCCCTGCAACCCTGTGAATCTCTGTGCCCTGCCTCAGCCTCAGCACATAATGGGTTCAGATTTATCTCCCTCTCTAGAGAAATAAGGGATTAAAAGCACATTCACAGTCCCATGACAGGCACTCCATTCAGTGAATATGAGATACTATTATCACATTAGCAACTCCTGGGATTTTATCTCGTTTTCTAGTAGTTGCTGTTTTGCTGAGAGCCACTCCTCTCAGGTCACGGTTTACACAGAAATTCTCATTTTCCTTCTTTTTTTTTTTTTTTTTTCCAAGAACAGGACACTGCAAAGTGCAGGCAAAACCCTGAAATCTAAAAGACCGACAAGACAATGGAAAGAACATGGTTGGTTTTTTACTTTTCATGACTGTTTTTTCCCCTCAAGGCACCCACTTGATTGGCAAGAACGAGACTCAGGGATCTGAACTGCTACATTTGGTAAAATAAAGGAATGGTAGCACAAATAACTTACAGGCATGTAACACCTAAAAATAAGCTACTGCTTAGAAACACCTCAGCACGTCCCATGGATAGATGTGCCCAACAAGCAACAACATCAAATTATGCTCATTTTTGTCCATACCTTAAAAAACAAAAAACAACCAAAAAAACAACAAAACACTCTTTATGTTGGGTTTCTTTTTTTTTTTAATAACCCAGGATCACCAGCAACCTGTCGACACCTCTGCTGGAGAATCCCCCCTGGAACCCATCAACCTCTAAACAGCAGAGTTTTAATTTTCTCATATATGAAAAACAGCATCTTAAACAGCTTTATAAAACGTTTAAGATCTTTCAGATTAATCTGCTAACAGACAGCACTCTCAATGTGGAAACTATTTTTATCATTAAAAATTTAACTCTTTCCTAGGAATGGAAAGAACAAAAATAGTTGACAAGGGGAATTACAGCTGGGCAGGACCCAGGCAATTCTTCTCCCTCTATTGTGAAATAAACTAAAATACCAGGTTATAAATAAACTAAAAATACCAGGAAATAAACTAAAATACCAGGTTAAATTAATTTCCTAAACAAATAATTCAGGATGTTCAATATTTAATATAGATATACATATATATATTAGATATAAAAATCAGATATATATTTAAGATACATTAAAGTGAAGGTGCTGGTGCCAGAAAGAAATGCCCACAGCCTGG